AGAATAGGACAGCGGTCCCCAAGCTTTTTGGCACAGATTTGGGGCAGGGGGGATGAGTAATCGTTTCAGGATGATTCAAGTGCATTATATTTATTACATTTGCAGCCGCTCCCCAGCACTGCAAATGTCAGCATCACCATCTCAGCTCCACCTCAGATCATCAGGCATTAGATTCTCATAAGGAACAGTACCCTAGATCCCTCACAAGCACAGTTTACAGTAGGGTTTACATGTCTATCAGAATCCAACGCTGCTGCTGCTGATCTGACAGAAGTCGGAACTCAGGCAGTATGTGAGCAGTGGGGAGCAGCTATAAATACAGATGAAATTTCCCTTGCTTGCCTTCTGCTCACCTCCTGCTGTGTGGCCCAGCTCCTCACAGGCCACAGACCCAACTGGTACTGGTCTGGGGTGGGGGGGGGGTGTGGTGTTGGGGACCACAGGAATAAAAGACTTGAGAGAAATCAATACATCACAATGTGCGGATCTTGAACAATCCTGAATTTAAAAAACTGCTACAAATTAAATTAATAAAACTGTGACTTTGATGAGACAATTGAAAATTTGAAAACTACTTGGTGATATGACTATGATTTGTTTCAAAATTATATGGGATGAGGGACATGGGTGGGGGTATAGATGAAACAAGACTGACCATGAGTTAATAAATACCAAAGCTAGTTGACAAGTACATGGGGTTCACTGAACTATTCAGTTACTTTCTTATATGTTTGAAATTTCCTATAACAACATTTTTTGTTAAAAAGTGGGAAGGAGGAATAGAGAAACTAATGTAACAGACTGGTTGATATCAGGTACTATGAGAAACCTATAAATGTCCTTATTCCTATTGAATTAAATAGCTCCCTTGCTAAAACTGGGATTCAAAAAAGGTCAACCTTTCACAGATATTCAATGTATAATTTACAGTTACTCCCAAGTTCATGGAAGCTGGGGATCATAGTTATCTTTGCATTCCTACTACATGTTATGTACCTGCTTGGCAGACTAGGAAAACTTGAAATTTTTTCAGCAAGACATAATGATGAATTTGGAAAATGGCAGTCAGAATTTAAATTCCTAATATCCTTAGCAGAAAATATTACATTAACATTTTTATAGTTCAAGAGTATCACCATAAATCACAACTAAAGACCATGATTATAAAATAAAAAAGTAATGAAATATTAACATATATGCGAACCTTTTGGTATCGATTTTAATAGCAACAAAACTGTTTGAAGACGCTTCTGTCACTTTCTCATCTTCCCAACTTGCAGCCATCTGTGTAGACTGCTCGTCATCGCCTGTAAAACATTTCAAGAATTTTTATAACATAAGGCCAGGATCTGCTGGTTGCAAATTCTTTTCCCTGGAAAACTGGAACTTCAAATAAAATATCTTCCAAATATTATTTCCTACTTAATATGACAACTGAATTTTCCATAAAATGAAAAGTGTGACAATGAAAACAAACTACATGTACTGCTATTTAGGTGATATAAAGTATTTTCTAAAAGAAAATGATGTAAATAGCATCAGGATAATAAGAAGTCATGGAAAGAAATGTGCTGTGCCTATTTTGTCTTTTGTACATATAATTTTAGAAAATAAAAGTGTAATACCCTTCCTTTATGTAAAACTTTTCTGTTGAGTTCAACATCTCCACATCACAATATTTATTCTCCAGAATTCCTTTAAGGTAGAAAGAGACAGGTATAATTCTGTTTGCAGTTTTGGACTTGCCTTTTACTATAGGCATGCTAATTATAAAATGATCCAAAACTAATCTACGGTGATAGAATTCAGCATAGTGGCTACCTTGAAGGAGTTGGCAGGTACTACTGACTGGAAAAGAGGATCAAGGAGCCTTTTGCAGTGCTGAAAATGTTCTAATATCTTTATCTGAATGACAGATACACAGGTATATTCATATGTAAAAATTCATCAGGCTGTTCATTTAATACATGTTCATTTAATATACTATAACTATACCAAACCAAAAAAATGTTTTAAAAGTTATATCTATCAAGAAATTGTTTCAAGTTTAGACCTATAACATCTAGACTTTGGCATAACCACTTATTGGTGAACAGAGAGAAACTTAAAAAGTCACTGAAAAATACCTGAAGTTAGCAGAGCTAAGTGCTTTCTCAAAGGTGAGCTCTCTTTGCCAATTTACAGATTTAAAAAAATGTTTACAGGTGGAGGCATCATACTATCTGACTTCAAAATTTACTACAAAGCTATAGTAACCTAAACAGCATGGTACTAGCATTAAAACAGACACATAGACCAATGGAACAGAAAGAGAATCCAGATATAAATCCATGTGTTTACAACTAACACATCTTTGACAAAGGCACCAAGAACATACAATGGGGAAAGGACAGTCTTTTCAATAAATGGTGCTGGGAAAAGTGGATAACTACATGCTGCAGAATAAAACTAGACCCCCATCTCTCACCATACACAAAAATCAAATCAAGATAGATTAAAGACTTAAATCTAAAACCTGAAACTATGAAACTACTGTAAGAAAACATTGGGGAAATGCTTCAGGACATTAGTGCGAGCAAAGAACTTTGGGGTAAGACTTCAAAAGCAGAATCAATGAAAGTAAAAATAGACAACTGAAATTATGTTAAGCTAAAAAGCTTCTGCACGGCAAAGGAAACAATTAACAAAGTCAAGAGACAACCCATAGAATGGGAGAAAATATTTGCAAACTATCAATCTGACAAGAAATTAAAACCCAGCATATATTACATAAGGAGTTCAAACAACAGAACAAAATAATCCGATTAAAAAATGGGCAAAAGATCTGAACAGACATTTCTCAAAAGACGACATACAAGTGGCCAAATGAAAAAATGTTCAACATCACTAATCACTGGAGAAATATAATTCAAAACCACAATTCAGTATCACCTCACCCTAGTTAAAATGGCTTGGATCAAAATGACAGGGAATAGGCCTGGTGCACTTTGGGAGGTCGAGGCAGGAGGATTGCTTGAGCCCAGGAATTTGAGGTTGCAGTGAGCTATGATGATGCCACTGCACTCTAGTCCAGGCAACAGAGCAAGAGACTGTCTCAAAAAAATACATTTAAAAAAAGACAGGGAATAACAGATGCTGGAGAGGATGTGGAGAAAGGGGAACCCTTCTAGACTGTTAGTGGGAATGTTAAATTAGTACAGCCACTATGGAGAACAGTATGGAGGTTCCTCAAAACACTAAAAATAAAACTTCTATGTATTCCAGCAATTCCACTAGTGGGCATATATCCAAAAGAAAGGAAATCAATATATCAAACAGCATCTGTACTCCCATGTTTATTGAAGCACAATTCACAATAGCCAAAATATGGAATCAACCTAAGTGCCCATCAATAGATGAATGGATAAAGAAAATGTAGCGGCCGGGCGCGGTGGCTCACACCTGTAATCCTAGCACTCTGGGAGGCCGAGGCGGGCGAATTGTTTGAGCTCAGGAGTTCGAGACAATCCTGAGCAAGAACGAGACCCCGTCTCTACCAAAAATAGAAAGAAATTAATTGGACAGCTAAAAATATATAGAAAAAATTAGCCGGGCATGGTGGCGCATGCCTGTAG